TGGACTACCCCACTCATAATAGTGGAGAATTGAACTCTGTGGGAATCTTAGACGTAACAGCCTCCTCCTCTAAAGCAGCTGTATGTTCAGTTGCAGCACACCCTACAAATGCTACAACAAAAAACTGGCAGGAAGAGGGTTCTAAAAATGGAAATGAGACCACAGAATTTGTGTCCAGGCAAAGCTCACCGATAGCGCGTACTGTATTTCTAATCTTTGACTCTCTAGGAGAAGTAAAACTGAAAGTGGACTTTTTGAAGGAGTCCGTTGATGTATTTATCCAGGCTTTTCATAACAAATTAACTCAGTTTACTGATGCAGGAAGTTTTGGACTCAGAAAGGCTCAATCCTTCGTAGCCCAAAATAAAGGGCCCACAGATGATCTGATTGAGGAAAGAGATCAACCCCCACAAAAATCTGCCTCTCAACGGCTGAGTCATGGAAGAGCCGAAAGTCAAAATCATAACAAACGGATGCTGCAAACAAATCAGATTTACCTGCAAATTACCCTTAACAGACTTAACAGCGGCTGGTGGGGTACAAAGAAAGCCATATGTTACTCCTTAAGTCAGCTATTATGATGCCATCATTATGCAATTGACTTACATTCAGGGGAGTGGCTTCCTAGTAAGATGGGCTGTAAGGGAATCTTGCTGACATTGAAGCAATCTGTAATCCCAAGCATGCTTTTCAAGATGAAACTCATGCTGTCCTCCTTTCTAATATTCCCAAGACGTGTATTCCGTGAAACACAGATCTCCCCACTTATTGAGTCATTACATCAAGGTGCTGTTAGCACTTTAAACGAGAAACAAGGAATGGACGCTACTGCAGCCAGCTGAATAGTTAGCAAAAATGGCATGGCCTTGGGAGAAGCTAACACAGATAAGCAACCACAGGCAGAAAGAGGGCAGGATACAACAGATCCCTTAGAGGCAGAAATAATTGACATCTTTGGAGCCATGCCAGGAAGCGAACAGGACGACTTACTGAAGAAATTAGAGGACTTTAAGCAAACTGTAACTACAGTGTATGAGACTGGGGCCCCTCTAATTGATCTTATCTCTGTGTCCCCTGCAGAAGGATGCAAAAGCAGTATAAATGAGAGCTTGCCTCCAACACGTCCCAGAGACAGTGAATTGTACAAACAATCAGTTTGTGTCACAGAAGATTTGATCATACCACCAGGAGAGGTAAACCTAGCCCCGCAGACCACAGATTCTGCAGCTCACCACCCACAGGATTTTATCACAGCCACATCAATGGATACGCAAATATCTGACTGTTCTTGTGTAACACCTGGCAGTGGGGAAGGGAGATGTACTCCACCCAGTGTGTCCCAGGCAGAACTCACAACAACATCCTTGTGTGGTCAAGCCAAATGACATTCAAATAATACTACTCCCTTGTTTGTTATCTCCTGGAATATTGCAGGGTGGAAGTCCAGGAGTAGAGATCCTTCATTTCTTGCATATATTTCTAGCTATGACATAGTTTTTTTCCAGGAAACATGGCATGCGGGTGATTTACTAGTAGATGGC